CATCCACCCACCCACATACCCCAAAGCCAATCCCCGCCCCATCCATCCACTGTCCTCATTAGTTTTATGTCAACTTGGCACAAGCCAGAGTGATATGAAAGGAGGGAACCTCAATTGAGAAAATTTCTCTATAAGAGCCTGCTGTAAGACATTTTCCCAATTAGTGATTGATGGGGGAAGACCCCGCCCATTGTGGGTGGGGCCACCCCTGGGCTGGTGGTCCTAGGTTTCTATAAGAAAGCAGGCTGAGCAAGCCACTGCAGCAAGCTGTAAGCAGCACCCCTCCATGGCCTCTGCATCAGCTCCTGCCTTTCAGGTTCCTGCTCTGCTTGAGTTCCTGTCCTGACTTCCTCCCAGGAGGAACAGTGATATGGAAGTGTGAGGCGAATAAACCCTTTCGTCCCAACTTACTTTTTGGTCATGGTGTTTCATTACATCAATGGAAACCCCGTGACTAAGACAATCCACTCGTATGTTCGTCATTGATCCAGCCATCTGACTATACACCTTTTCAACTTGTTTATTAATATGCCTACATATCCATCCATTCACCTATCCATCCATCCATCCATCTACTTACCCACTGATGATCCAGCCACCTGGGAGCCACAGGTGCGGGAGTGCTGTGATTGTTGTGTGCTAACCAACTGCTCTCCAACTGAATTCAAGGTCTGCTCCGTGGGAGGAAGTTCACGCCCAGGACTGTAAATGTGGCTAGGAGGGTCATAGGCACCAGGGAGGAACTTAGTAGCATTGTTTTGCTTTGATGTAGAGACGTGTAACTGGTCGTCGTGCTAAGAAGACTGACTGAGCTCACTGAGAGTGAATATCTCTATGTACTCCCACTCAAGGCTCGGGAACATCAGGGAAGAAGGATGAGGAGAACGTGAGAGTCTGAGGATGGAAAAAAAGAGCTGCAAAGTGTCCTGTGGACATGACGTGACTATCAAATGCATGAACTCAGAGCAGCTTTGGTTACAAGCTCAAGCCAGTCAGCATTTCATGCTTAGGGGAAGAATATATGAAGCATCAACCCTCGCCGAAGAGCTGTTGGGTTTGATGGCTGCTAAAGAAAAGAGAGTCTTGTTTCTTTCATTGTGTGGCTACTGGTGGGTTGCCATTGTCCTGGTGACTTCTTTTTTTATTTTTGGTTTTTCAAGACAGGGTTTCTCTGTGTAGCCCTGGCTGTCCTGGAACTCACTCTGTAGACCAGGCTGGCCTCGAACTCAGAAATCCGCCTGCCTCTGCCTCCCAAGTGCTGGGATTAAAGGCGTGCGCCACCACCACCCTGCTGTCCTGGTGACTTCTTGCCAATTCCAGACAATCTAGAGCAGTGGTTCTCAACCTGCGGGCTGAGGTCCCCTTGGCAGCCTCTGTCTCCAAAAGTATTCACATTACAGTTGATAAGAGTAGCAAGATCACAGTTACAAAGTAGCATCACAGATGATTTCATGGTCGGGGGGTCACATTAAGAACTGTATTAAAGGGTCACAGCATTAGTGAGAACCACTGGACTGGACTCACCTGAGACGAGGGAATTTCAGCTAAAGAATCACCTTCTTCAGGTTTACATGTCTGCAGGACATTGTCTCAAACACTAATGTAGGAGGACACCACTGTGGTGGTGCCCTCTCCAGGCACCAGTTGAGCTGTATCAGAATGGCAGCTAAGAGAGCCAGAGAGCCATCCAGCAAGCACCATCCCTCCCCCGACGCCCCCCGCCCCCCCAACCTTGAGCTCTGCTTCGAGTTCCTGCCCTGAGATCAACTGTGGCCTGAAAGTCTAAGATGAAATAAATGCTTTCTTCCCTAAGTCAGAGTGTTCTATCCCAGCAACAGAAAAGCCGTGTAAAACAGAACACCTGTGTAAAAACGGATTAGTAAATGGGCTTTTATTTATAATAAATCTCAAATTTGTGCATAGGATTTTATGATTCATAGGAAACATTTGACAATGCTATGTACCTGTAGACTCACCCCCACACAAAATGGGATCATGGGTAGAAAACATCTTTTAAGTCTTGGCTGGCTCCACAACCCTCCTCCTACCTCCCCTACAATCAAGGTTTTCTTCTTCAAACCAGGAGGGGGTGAAGCTAGATACCTACTTCGTGCATGGCTATCATAGAGTTGTCAGTCCTTCTCAGAGGAGCCAGCTTGGAAGCCATCACAGAAAGTACTCAGTGGCCTCAGCCCTGAAGACACTCATTGTTGTCACACTTGGGCCAAACACTGTTTTCTGAGGCTTATATGTTTCATTGTTTTTTGTTTGTTTGTTTGTTTGTCAATCAAAGGACAATGTACTGGGATCCAACAGCCTGAGCCTTTGTACTCAGCTGATCATCCATTCATTTCACAGAGCCTCCTGAGGACTCTCAGGAACAAACTCACATCCCCTCCCCAATCTGGGTGTGGCACACAGCTGACAGATCCACAGGCTCTCAAAGCCCTTTGCTGTGGTGTGATTCTTGTATGGACAATGGGCTCGGTGTGAGCCAAGCTATAGCTAGCTACCTCTTCACCTTCTGGGCATGCATAAGTTCAGCCCATAGTAGGTCCTCAGAAAATATATGTTGACTGACTTAAAGAGATAAAAGGCTCTACTAGAAGGAGATATCTAGAGCTCTAGGTTAGACTCTTTATTGGGGACTTGGGGATAGCACATGCAAAACACAGATACAGCGCATCTGAGAGCAGCTTGTCATTGGGGCTTCCTAACATCAGGTCATGGGCATGTTAGGCCATGTGACCCCTTTCTAGCCAAATAACCAAGTCACATGTCAGTTCCAAGTGAACCTTTTAAAAGCTTCCTTCTCCTGCGTGTTCCTCAGATGGTGTGGCACGGCAGGAAGGCAGAGTTTCTGCCTTGAGCACACGTGTGTAGCTGAGTTCCTGCTGACCAGGACAGTGGTACAAGGGAGAAACAAGGGCACCTGTCATTGCAGCTAACTTTACCAATGCCCAGAAGGAAGACCTCACCTTCAGGGGCCATGAAGACAGGCCTTGGTGTCTTTTTTTTTTTTTTTTTTTTTTTGGACAAACACAGCATAGGCCTTGAATGCAAAGCAGCAGGGAGTCAAAATGTCTCTTAGATCATCCAACTGGGAGAAATTTTTAAATCTATCCAAAGGGACGGTTACTTGTGACTGGTATTTGCAACACCCCTCAGTGTTTTGAAATAAAGTCAACTATAACCTGCCTGCATAGGAATTTTCAAAATGAATTGGTGAAGATGCCCTTAAACTACATTGTAAAGAATAGCATGATACAATGTTGCAATAGCTAAGGGCTTTGACAAATCTAGGGCAAGGTGAAGAGAAAAGCAACAGCCTTCTTTTAACTGAAGTTATAGACTCCTGTGATACAATGTTGCAATAGCTAAGGGCTCAGACAAAGCAGAGGCAGGGTGAAGAGAAAGGCAGACACCTTTCTTTAACTAGGGCAATAAAGACTTATGTGAAACAATGTTGCAATAGTTTGTCTTTGATAAAGTTTGGACAGACTTAGGTTTCTGATTTCAATGGGTACAGCACTTGGTTAGGCCGTTATTTAGTGAATGTATGTTGGTCTCTTCCTACCCTAGGCAGAAGCATTTGTTCAAACACCACGAGAGAAAATGCCCAGGTGTCTGGATTTGCCAAAGTGATGAGAAACTTCTACTTCAGGAGTGGGGACTTTGGGCTGTGCAAGTGCCAACTCTGATGAAGTTCATTGATGAGCTCCTCACCCGGAATCCCCAGAGCCAGCTGCCCAGCTGCAGAGAGCTCTGAGACCCCGGCCTGAGCATGTGAATGCTCACTGCACAGGGAGTGCAGGTGTGGCTGCCTCAGGAGTACATGGAGAGTCAGCACAGCAGGAGCAGCGCCTGTGTGAGGACAGGGGGCTTTGGAGCAGCCCAGGAGCCCTGGTTCTCCTCTTGAAAGCTGTGCCTGCTCCCTCTCTGCACCTGCCGCAGACGAGAATGGCTTCAGCTGTGGCAGCCTTGTGCTCCCTTGGCTTGCTTCCCTCTGCCTCCAACAAGGCATGGCACTTACCACATAAATCAATGGCCATGGGGTTAACTGACTGATAGGCGGATACAGGAGAATGAGTGACACAGGGAAGGGTGGGAGAAAGGAAGAAAAAGGGCGGAGAAGAACAGATGGACTGATGGGTGGTAAGAGGATGAAGAGCTAAGAGATGGATGGAGGATGCATTGATTGGATGGATGGATGGATTGATGGATGGATGGATGGATGGATGGATGTATAGGTAGTTAAATGGATGGGTGATGAATGGGTAGATGGATGGACGGATATATGGATAGATGGATAAATGGATGGATGGATGGATGGATGGATACATGGATGGATACATGCATGGGTAGAAGGATGGATGGATTCTTGGATGGATAGGCAAATGGATGAGTGAAAAGACAGATGGTAGCAGGGATATATAAATTGATGGGAAGAAGAAAATGTAGAAAAAAGAAGGAACAGTGGATGACAGATAAGTGAATGGGTGAGCAGATGGATAGGAGGATGGATGGAAAGACAGACAAATGAATGGATAAGGGTGTGGGTAAACAGATGGGTAAATAGATGGATAGGGGAGTGAGTGGGTAGATGGATGAATAAATAAATGGGTGGCTGGATGGCTGGCTGGCTGGCTGGATGGATGGATGGATGGATGGATGGGTGGGTGGATGGATGGGTGGATGGATGGATGGATGGATGGATGGATGGGTGGGTGGATGGATGGATGGATGGATGGGTGGGTGAGTGGATGGATGGATGGATGGATGATCATATGGATGAATAGGTGAATGGATGGATGGACAGATGAACAGATAGATAGTTATTCAGATGTGGGCACTGGCAGCAGAAGTCTGCTTGTGGTAAAGGGTGTGTGACCTCAGCTGACAGGACTGGATTGGGGCACAGACACATCCCTCCTCCCCACCCCCTTGCAGTTCATGGCCCCTTCACCCATCCCCCCACAGGAAGTGACGCTGACAGAGCGGCGTGGCTGGTGGGCTTTATTGAGCAGGTTCAGGAGGGGACACAGGCGTTGGCTCCTGGGAGTCCTCAGCTGCTCAGGAAGCAGCCACGCTTGTGCCACTTCTGGTCGCGGATGCGGCGCACCGACTGCAGCTGCGGCTGGTTGGCGTCCCACTCATTCCAGTGGCGAAACTCGCCCCGCTCGAACACGTACTGGCGCCCGCGGTAGCCAGGGAACTCGTAGCCCACCCACCTGCCAAGAATAACAGAGTGAGGTGGGGCATGTTCCTCCAGAGCCCCTTAACGCTCTCTAAAGCCTGCATTTGCTTTCTTCATCACCCGCCTCAGGTCCTCCTTGACTCCCCAGTGCCCCTGAGATGAAGCTAACCACCTACCTTTCCCAAGGCTTCCTTTGTCACACCTCACAATAGCCTTTCTTCTTCAGCCCTTCACCCCTCTGCCTGAGTCTGAGCCTTCGAAGTTGCCATCCATCCTGACTAGAATGTCCTTCTTTACCTGATCTTCTGTCTCCTTGGGGTGGGAGTGGGGTCACACATAGCCTTGGGACTCTCAGAGACACTTTCCTCCAGCGTGCCCATCACACTCACGTCAGACCGATATACCAGAGAGAAGGGCTCCAACTGGCCACTCCTATCCCTCACGTGTCTGATGCTCAGGAAAAAGTCACTGAGTACATTCACAATGTCATCCTTCCCGGCTCAATCCCAGGTTCAAAGGTCACCCTGAGGTTAGCAGAAATAGCAAGCTCGATCATAGCTAGGCTCAATTCAGACCCTGATAATAACAGAGGTTGTGAGATCACTATCACCCTGAGAGTTAGCTCCAGGCCTGAGGAGTTAGGAGAGCCATAGAACCTGGGCGGAGACCAAGCAGTGGGGACTGAGACAGAGCAAAGCTGTCTAGGAGTTTAGGTTGCTTAGAATCCTCAATGGAGCAGGAGGCCAGTGCTGGAGCATTCTGGGATGGGGTAGAGGGGGAAGAGAGCATGGGGGGGGGGGCAAAAGAGAATGGGGAGAGAGAGAGAAAGAGAGACAGAGATAGAGAAAGAGGCACAGAGAGAGAAGACAGAGAAAGAGACACATAGTGAGAGAAGAGAGGGAGAGAAGAGAGAGGAGAGAGAGATATGTGTGTGACAGAGAGAGAGAGAGAGAGAGAGAGAGAGAGAGAGAGAGAGAACATGTGGACAATGTTAGGGAGAAAGCTCAATTCTTGAATTTGGTTTTTGTTTGTTTTGATTTTCCATTTTCATTTTCCATTTCATAAAGAAAGACAGGGAGAAAGAAAAGAGAAATTAAAAAGAGAGAAGGGGCAAAGAAAATAGGGAGGAGAAAGAGAAAGAGAAGCAGAGACAGAGAGATAGAGACACACAGAAAGAGACACAAGGTCTCTCTGTATAGCCCTGGCTGTCTCGGATCTCATTCTGTAGACCAGGCTGAACTTGGACTCACAGGAATCCACTTGCCTCTGCCTCCCAAGTCCTCGGCTTAAAGGCGTGCCGTGCTGCAGCTCTTGGACTTTTGAGGCACTGCCTGACTCTGGAGTCCAGGCCTCTTTCAAACTCCCACTCCTCCTGTCTAGCCTCCCAGGTGCTAGGATCATGGATCGGGGCATCACACCCTCCACCACAAGGGCTTTGAGTGACAATGAGTTGAGTCACTTGTGTGTGGCGCTGGCAGCTAGCTGTGGAGAAGCTGGTGTTAAGGAGTGGCTGCCAGGGGACAGGAGCTGGAGCAGAGTGGGCTGGGGCTTCCCTTACGTCCCGTTGATGACTCGGATGCTGGCCACACGGTCCTGGAAGCCATGGGCCCACAGGCTGGGCACATCGTCATCTACGATCTCCATCTTGCGCCCACTGAAGGCTGGGTTCTCGAACAGGTGCAGCTTGTGGTCTGGGCCATCCTGAAGACAAAGGTCAAGGGTGAGTGAGACCCCCACACACACACACAGAACAGCAAGAATGGAGTCACCCCAACTCTCAGCAAGAGAGAAGGACTCAGGGGACACCCCGAGCTGAGCAAGACAGAAGAAGAGGGATGGACAAACCTCTTTCCACTAATCGTTACCACCAGGAAGGGAAACTGAGACTCAGAGGGGACCATAAAGACTTAGGATTTGGATCACCTCTTCTAGGTTTATTCTAGTGCCATCCTCCTGGTCTCCTTTCCCCTGTTGTCTATAAAACACTCTGTTCAGGCACTGGAAGGAGGAGCTGGGTGGCTTCTGTACTGATGGAAGAGATGGGGCATGGGTCATATGCCCTCCAGGATGTGCCAGGGAAGAGTGGGGACCGTCGTGAAGTGATTTTTCTGGGTTTTTGAGTTCTGTGTTTCTTTGAACAGTATTGAACTGTGCCAGAACTATGAGGCTTCTCGGGTTAATTGGGTGACTGCAAAAGGGGTCAAGGGTCATCTCCACTAGTTCAGGACAAGGACTCTGGTGTCCTTTCCCAGTACCCACTCAGGAGCCAGATTCTTCTTGTCCCACATCATTGTTGAGGTCAAAATCTGAGGCCTATTCAAGCAGAATCACAGTGGCAAAACTGACCCATGCATGCACTCATGTGTACGCGAGTACACACACACACACACACACACACACACACACACACACGGATAGCAATAGCCCTGACTTACAATGTGCAAAGGCCGGAGGGACAGGAGAATGTCACTACGTCGGCTGCTGGACCAGGCATCCCAGCGAGGGTAGTCCCCCTTCTCCAGGACAAACTGCTCCCCACGAAAGGCCCTGCGCTCGAATGCCAGCCACCTGAGGGTAGAGGGAACAATGTCACCTCTGGTGTGGCTGAGCAGGGACCCACAAGCAGGAGGAAGAGCAGGAACGTCACACCTTCACCCTCTCTAACCCAGTACAGACCCTGTGCCTGCTGCCAGGGAAGATCTGGGGACTCATCGGGTACTGATGCCCTGCGCCACAAGCCCATCAAGGACATACTGGTAATCCATGTGCACCAAGTTTGGTAAAGCCCCCCACAAAAGATCCATGAGTGAGGGACTAGAGTGTTAGTTCAGTGGTTAGGAAGAGCATTGGCTGTTGTTACAAAGGACCAGGGTTCAAGTCCCAGCACACGTGCATGCGCATGCAGACACACACACACACACACACACACACGGCTCATGACCATCTGAACTCCAGTTCTAGGGGACCTAGTGCCTCTTCTGGCCACCAGGGGGACCCAGTGCCTCTTCTGGCCACCAGGGATACTGCATGCATTTAGTCCAGAGGCAAACATATGTAAACTAAAAATAAATAAAACTTAAAAAAAAAACCAAAAACCTTTCTCTTCCCCCTCTAGGCACCATCCACCTTGTCTCCAACACTCTCTGACAGCCACAGCACTGTTTGTCCTCAGATGAGGAGACACAGCGTGACAGACATGGCCAAGAACACAAAGTCCCAGAGCATAGACTCAATCTGGGGGCCAGAGCTCAGTGCGCAGCACAGGGCCTGCTGCTCGAGGGCAGGCTCCAGACACCTTGCTTTCCTTGCCTCAGTTCCCTCCGCTACACCAGTGATAGAAAGGGGCGTGGCTCTAGCAGGACGAGAATTCATGATATAACTCAAGTGAGACTTTACAGGTTTCATAATTCCTACAGTTACTTAACAGTAGGTCCTGTTTCTATTTATACGATTTTTTTTTAATTTTTAAAAACCTTTATCTATGTGGGTGTTTTGTTTGCATGTATGTCTGTTCACTGTACCTGTGCCTGGTGCCTGCTGAGATTAAAAGAGCCCAGCCACGTGGGTGCTGGGAATCGAACCCAGGTCCTCTGCAAGAACAGTAAGCGTTCTCAACTGCTGAACCATCTTTTCAGCCCCTATTTACATAACTGTGTACAGCTGGTGTCAACTTGGTGTTTCGCCTCTGAGCTGGGCGCCTGCTGGCCTCCTTCCTTTTAATGCCACACACCACAGGAGTCATTTTGTTATTTTGTCGATGGGGAAACTGAGTCAAAGAAAGGCAAGGGCCTAAGGCAGATCTGGGGCTGGATTGGGCCTAAGCTTGCAGGAGGCTCGGGCAATGGGGCGCTGCCTAAGTACTCACGGTCCAGACTCCACTTGGATGGACCCCACCTTCTCCAGCAGGCTGTCAGTGAGGTTGGGACACTCAGCCGAGAGCTCACACCGCTTGCCCTGGAAGTTCTCTAACTCGTACACCGTCACCTGGAAGAGCAGAGGTGAGAACCTCAGCCTCTGAAAGGCTCCCAAGCCCACTCCCTTCAGCAGAACAGCAGGGAGGACCACGGCTGCCTTCCCACGCATGTCTCCACCGCTCCCTGGTGGCCACAGCGCGCAATTGCAATCATGGCACGGGTCCCCGCTGAAAATCACCAGGGGCAACGTCAGAAAGTTTCCTCAGACTATTACGTCACGGCATCCACGTCACATATTCCCTCTGAAGCCCCAGCATGGCTTGGAATGGACACAGCGAGCATCCACACGCCATGCTTCTGCCACCCGCTTTATCATGTGACAATTCTGGACTGAGGACAGCAGGCATCGCTTCCATTTTAAAGATGAAGCTGTCAGCACCCAGAGACACCAAGCAACTCAAATAGTGTCACACAAGAAAGGTGGAGCTTGAAGCTACATCCCCTGAAGCCTGGTGCCCAGGATCTTCTTCACTGAGTCAGTTGGGGACTCAGCCCTGGGCTCTAGAGCCAGCCCATCAAGACCCAGGTACCTTGTAGCTGCCCCCAAGGCCTCCATGGCTCTTGCCAGCTGCAGCCTGCTCAGGTGCTCCGTGCTGTTCCGCCATCTCTCTGGGGACACTTCTGCCTCAGACTGGAAGAGAACCAGGTCACCAGCTGCGGCCAGCAGGGTCACGGGCTGGTGGTACTGGAACCAAACAGCAGTGAGGACCAAGATCTATAGTCAGTCAACAAACACCTCCTGGGCACCTTTGCTTTGGGCCATGCATTTGGGCCAGTCAGTGGGACTGGGGAGTCTCAGGGGCCCAGTAAAGCAAGACCAGTTTGCCGAGAACATGGGGAAAAAAGGATTTTAACTAAATGTCATTCTTCCCCCTGTCACCACCCCACATACACCCCCAAATGTTCCCTGCACAGGGCTGGACCTCTCTGTGGGATCTCTGCAGCCTCAGGACTGGACACCACAGCCAGCGTGAACAGCAGACCAGAGAAGGCAGGAGAAACAGACAGACCAGGCAGTCATGAAATGGGCCAGGTCTTTGGAAATCATCTCAGGCCATGAAGAAGCTGACTATTGAGTGTTTACTGTGTTCTAGGCTCTTGCATAGTGGACTCTGGCAATCTCTCTTAGCCTCAGGGGGCAGAGACACAGGACTCAGGCTCTGCAGACTTATGCTCACCAGCATGGGTGTACGGGTGTGCACATACCTGCACACACCTGTCCCAGACCGACCCTCGCCTCCCTCACGACCTGTCCTGGCACATTGGTGTGAGGCCCAGCATGTCCAGCAGCTTCTGCTGCATCTCTAACCAACATCAGCAGGACACAGGGCTTGGCCCACCTCATGGGGATGCCCCAGTATACCTGATGGGTCCCTTCCCTTTCTCAGAGCTGCCCAGTCCTTAGTCCCCAGCCCACAGTTGGGAGCCAGACTCATGCTCAAACCCACAGACAATACCCATGGACAATAGTCCATCTGTGGCTGGGCCTAGTTGTCAGGCATGTGTCCCGGAGGTCACCCCCTACCCTCGAGTGAGCTGGGCACGGGCCATGCACACCCAGAGAGACCCGAGGTTGCACCTTCTTCTACAGAGTGCACTTCCCCCTGCCTCGCCCAGTTCAGTACAAACCTGCCTCCAGGACCAGCTGTCCCCAGACTGGCTTGCCTCCAAGGCTGGCCTATTTATGGGCATGTTCTGTTGGCCCAGCACATTACGGGCTGCTGAGATAGCACCCTGTCCATCCGATCCTGTCCAGGCCATTTCACCCTAATGGCGAGCCCGGGGAGGCCCCTAAGGTCAGTCACCTCCGGCGCAACTCTGATGACTTCCTGGGGACCGATGGCCTCTGCTGGCTTTGTGGGAGGCCAGCCAGACTAAACAGGGGGTACGGGGGCACAAATCCCTCCGGTGACCCCAATTCCCATTCTTTGGCTTCTCAATGCCATTCTCCTACCTGAGATCTCGGCGTCCCCAGACAGGCTCCAGATCCTGAAGCAAGGGGACTCCTGAATCCACATGCTGGAAACCCTGAGCTTCAAGCCACATCACTACAAAAGGAATTTCTAATTCCACTCTAAACCCATACAGTCACTTCCAAAGGCTGTCAGGTGAGTGAAGACATGCTCCTCATGAGGGCGGCACATTTGAGTGACAGCCACCCTTTGTAGAAGACCTATCATGGGAGGGTGATATTGATCTGCTCTTGTCCTCCTTAGGGGAGGAACGTTAGTTTCCCTGTTAACAACAATGAAGGTTGTGTTCAAAAAGGACACGTCAGTTACTTGGGGGTCATAAAGCTGTTTGCTGTAGGCTCAGATCCTCAAGTCAGCCTAAGACCCAGTTTTGGATCCTTGGGGTGCCATTTTACAGATGACATGACTGAGGTGAGTCATTGAGTTCTCACAGTCATAGCTGGAAATTGATCTGGGTTTCAGTGTGTGCGTATGTATAGTGTGTGTGGCTGAGTGGACCTGTGTGAGCACAGATGCCAGAAGAGGAGGCTAGTGCCCCACTTTTCCATGCTCTGCCAAATTCCCTTGAGACAGGGTCCCTCACTGAACATGGGGCTAGACCCACAGCCAGCCCCAGCAATCCTCCTGTCTCCATCCCCAACCACTGATCCAAAGTTTCTCTGTGTAGCCCTGGCTGTCCTGGAACTCACTCTGTAGACCAGGCTGGCCTTGAACTCAAAGATCTGCCTGCCTCTGCCTCCCAAGTGCTGGGATTAAAAGCGTGTGCCACCACTGCCCAGCTCACCACTGGCTTTTCATGGGGTGCTGGGGATTTGAACTCAGCTCCTTTGTGCTTGCATGGCCACTTAGCCACCACCCCAAGCCCATAAACTAATGTATTGGTTATCACTAAGTCACTGTGACCAAAATGTCTGACAGAAACAAGGGCGGACAGTTTATTTTGGCTGGCAGTTTCATGCGGTTCGGGCCAGGATTGCTGGTCATGACATACTTGTAAAGAGTACCGTGGCATGGGGTGTGTGGTGGACAAAGTTCTTTGCTTTGAGGCAAGATACGAAGCATGGATACAGACACAGGAAGGGGACAGGGACAGAAGGCTCTGGAGGACCAGACCCCAGCTGCTTCTTCCAGTCAGACCAGCTCCTAAAAGCTCCTGTTTCCAAAACATGGCACTTCTGTCTGTCCGGGAACCAGATGCTCTGTACATGAGACTGTGGGGAACATTCCATGACAATGCAGGCTTTCTTTCTTCTGTAGCTCAGAGGCGAGATGCTGGCTTAGCACAGGGGAGGCCTGTGTTCCACCACACAAAAGAACAAGCCGCAGAGCATCACTGATGTGCGGAACAGAGGCAGGAGGATCAGGAATTCAAGAGGAGCCTGGGCTCCATTGCAGGTTTGAGGCCAGCCCGAGCTGTCTCAATGAGAGGTCATGTGAGCACAGCACATGTCACATGGCTGTCACTTGATTCTGTCTCCCCAGGACCCCACCTACCACTGAGAGTTCACACCAATGGCCACTTCCTGTCACAGGTGATGGAGCCAACATAGCTTCTTTAAGGGGCAGTTGTCACTGGCTGGGCGGCACTGGGGACAGCATGGCACCCTCTCCACAGTGGATCGGCCTGAGCACACTGCCAGCTCAGCTGCCATTCAGAGCCACACACTCTTAGCAAGGGTAGAATGTGTGTGTGGGGGGGGGGGGGGCGGGGAGGGCAGGCTGCCCCGGCAGGGGGGGGGGGCTGCTGATCAACATCTCCAAGGCTGTTAACCAACTGTGCTGGATAGTTGAGTCATCAGAGAGGAAGAAACCTCAGTTAAGAAAATGGCTGTATAAGATTGGGCTGTAGGCAAGCCTGTGGGGCATTTCTTGATGTGGGAAGATCCAGCCCACTGTGGGTGGAGCCAGCCCATTGTGAGTGGGGCCAGCCCATTGTGGGTGGAGCCAGCCCATTGTAGGTGGGGCCATTCCATTGTGGGTGGGGCCAGCCCATTGTGGGTGGGGCCATCCCTGGGCTGGTGGTCCTGGGTTCTATAAGAAAGCAGGCTGAGCAAGCCATGGGGAGCAAGCCAGTAAGCAGCATCCCTCCATGGCCTCTGTATCAGCTCCTGCCTCCAAGTTCCTGCCCTGTGTGAGTTCCTGTCCTCACTGCTTTTGATGATGAACTGTTATATGGAACTGTGGGTAACTAAAAAAAAAAAAAAATTGCCCCAATTTTATTTTGATCATGGTATTTTGTCATAGCAATAGTAACCCTAACTGAGATAACCACAATGAGTAGGCTACTGATTAGCATCTATAGGGGTTAATATTGACTGTCAACTTGTAGGATCTAGAATCACCTACTGGAGCCACCTCTGAGCACACCTATGAGGGGTTATCTAGCTTAGGTCATCCCTGGGCACGCCTGTGAGGGATTTCCCAGATAAAGTTAACTGAAGTGAGGAAATCCATTGCAATGATTAGCTTAAAATTTAAGCATGGCAAAACTTACGATCTCAAGGAGGGATCATCTACTCTGGGTTGCTGATGGGCACATCTGTGGGAACTGTCTTCATTAAATTAATTGATGTAGAAAGACCCACACTGCTGGTTTGAATATGCTTGCCCCAAGGAGCAGCACTATTAGTAAATGTGGCCCTGTTGGAGTGGGTGTGGCCCTGTTGGAGTGGGTGTGGCCTTGTTGGAGGAGGTGTGGCCCTGTTGGAGTGGGTGTGGCCTTGTTGGAGTGGGTGTGGCCCTGTAGGAGTTATTGCCTTGTTGGGGTAGGTGTGGCCTTGTTGAAGTGGGTGTGGCCCTGTTGGAGTAGGTGTAGTCTTGTTGGAGTGGGTGTGGCCCTGTTGGAGGAGTTATGACCTTGTTGGAGGAGGTGTGGCCCTGTTGGAGTGGGTGTGGCCCTGTAGGAGGTATTACCTTGTTGGGGTGGGTGTGGCCTTGTTGGAGTGGGTGTGGCCCTGTTGGAGGAGTTATGGCCTTGTTGGAGGAGGTGTGTCACTGTGTAGGTCAGCATTGAGGTCCTGTGCTCAATCTCTGCCCAGGGCAGAAAAGAGCCTCCTCCTGGCTGCCTGCAGATCAAGATGTAGAACTCTCAGCTCCTACATCATCGTGTCTGCCTGCACACTGTCATACTTCCTGCCATGATGGTAATGGACTGAACCTCTGAAACCATAACCCAGCCCCAGTTAAATGTTTTATTTCTTTTCTCTTTTTTTTCTTTCTTTCTTTTTTTTTTGTTTTGTTTTGGTTTGGTTTGGTTTTTGGTTTTTCGAGACAGGGTTTCTCTGTATAGCCCTGGCTGTCCTGGAACTCACTCTGTAGACCAGGCTGGCCTTGAACTCAGAAATCCACCTGCCTCTGCCTCCCAAGTGCTGGGACTAAAGCCGTGCGCCACCACTGCCCTGCTAAATGTTTTATTTCTTAAGAGTTGCCTTGGTCATGGTGTCTCTTCAAAGCAATACAACCCTTAGACCTATACTAAATGTGGGTGGTACCATTCCCTAGGCAGAGTGACTTAAGCTGTGAAGGGTGGAGAGACTGAACTGAACAAGAAGAAGCAAAGCTGTCTCCATCTCTCTCTGCTTTTGACTGTGGCTGTGGGCAGCTGAAGTTCTGATGTCCCCATTGATGGACTGACCCTGGGATTATAAGTCAAATAAATCCTTTCTCTCCAAACTGCTCCATGTCAGTGTTTTATCACAGCAATGGAAACGAAACTAGGACTCCCACCTTTAAAATCGGCTGCCCGGACAGAAGGGCATCTAAGAAACAAGCTTTTGCATTTGCCTGCTTGCTGTTCTCTGCCATGGCGGCCACTGTTGCTCGCTGGCGTCAGAAGCCAACGCCTTCAGCCTTCTAACACAGACCAGTGGTTTTCCAGTAATCCTCCAGCCCTTTGGCTCCAGACAAGGAGCACTGAGGGGGCTAGCTTCACGGCTGAGCATTGCCCATCCTCAACTTCTCTGGTGTGGAGACACCTAATATCAGGTTGCCTGGGGTCACATTGTGAAAGCCAACCTAATAAATGACCTTTGAATATACATCTATTTTGCCATTCTGGTCCTCTAGAAAACCCTGAGCATTCCTGAAGAGACTGTTGACCAGCCTCCCTAGACATGTTATCCATTAACACCCCTGGATAGGCTGTTGATTAGCATCCCTGGGTAAGTGCTCTAATTAGCCTTAACTGTCAGCTTGAGACAAGAGTCCCATCTGAGAACCGAGTCTCATTTGAGGGGTTGTCCAGGACAGGATGACCGATGGGCATCTCCATAGGGAATTGTCTTGAGTATAAATTGATATAAGAGGGTCCGCAGATTCCTGCTTCAGTTCCTGCCTTGACGTCCGTCCCTCGATCGAAGGACGGAAGTGTTAACTAAACAGACCTTTCTTCCCTTAAGCTGCTTTTGAGTATGGGGCTCATCACAGCAACAGAAGAAAAAAAATAGCTAAATTAACATCCCTAGCTAGGTTATTGACTAAACATCCTTAGGTAAGCTGTTGTTGCTTTCATCTCTGGGTTGCCAATCGATTCCATCCCTGGGTAGGTTATTGGCTAGCATCATTCAGTAAGCTGTTGATTAACTTCCCTGAATAGGTTAACTAGGCATCACTGGGTAGGCTGTTGATTAATTTCCCTGGGTAGGCTGGTGCTCTCATTATGGATAGGTTATTGATTATCATTGCATAGGCTGTTGATTAGTACACCTGGTCTCTATTCATCAATAACCCTAGCAGCTCCTCCCTCCTGTAATAACCAAGGACCCAGGAGACCCCATCGCTTTCTTGTGGACACACAGTTTCAGAGGCGCCATTGACAGGAAAGCTTTATTTACTATTTTTTTGGAGTCTGGGTGTGCCCCCTTTGCACATGCAGAGTTCACCCCATTTAGTGCAGTCAGCTGGATTCCTGACTTGCTTGTCTGTGCCAGAAAACCTCTTACAGTGACAAAATATAAAAGCACAGGGGACATCCGGTCACTGTGAAAGTCTGGGAAACCCATTTGTTTTGACAGTAAAAATATAGTGGTTTTTTTTTTTAATAGATGAATTCTCAGTCACGCAGTCAGTCAGGTTCTTCCTGGGACTGGCTACAGTGCCCACCATCTGCCTTCAGAAGTCCTGCAGCTTGTGGATTGGTAAGGCAGCTGTCAGAATGTCGCAGATAAGATGCGCACCTTTGCAAGTCCGTCCCCATAGCGATGCAAACATTCCCAGGTAGGACCCAGAGGAACGGTTAGGAAAATATATATCCTTATATTCACATATATCATTCCATTCTCCCACCCCGGCATACAAAGCATGTTGAGGAGGACTGTGATCATTCTAGAACAGAGTAAGAAACAGTTTGGTACAAACACCTTCTGTAGATCAATATACAACCTCTGTGAGCCCCATAAAACAAATTCTGTAAGGCGACACGGGACGACATTTAAAAAGCAGATTGTCCTCTAGAGGGTAACAGATTTTTTTAGCTGGCTTGATGCTGCCAGGGATTGTCAGGGCATAGGTGACATAAACAGCTGAAGGAGACTCTTGGGGGGTGGAGTAAAGCTTGCAGGCTATGAGGTGTCCTTCACTGTGGGAACCACAGAGGCAAGGATACCCTAGAGTGTAATGAGATCACAGAGGGAGAGGGACAGGGATGGAGAAGCCACGTCCTCCTGCCTTTTGGAACGTGACCTTCCAGAAATGTCAACAGAGGTCCTCTCTCACTGAGGGGCCTGAGGCCGAGGGGAGCTCAGAGATGTAGAGTCAGCCCTGCTAGTCCCCAGCAATGTCGGGGACGCTCCCTATGGACAGGTGGTGGGGCAAAGGCACATTTGGAGGGCACTGGATCTCTGTCGCCCAAATGATTTGCCAGGGCTGAATATCAACAAGGGGTGGGAGTGGCTTTTCACTTATCAATCAAACCTAGATCCAGGGTGTGATCAACTGGAGGCACCAGGATGAGTGGCAGTAACGCCAGCCCTTACCCACTGCCCACCCCCCGACACACACACCAGGACTGGCTGAGTTTCCTTTGGAAACCACACGAGTATTTTCCCAATCTCTGCTCAGCAGCTAGGTTGAGGACATGGGTCTATTTCCAACTCTTTGCTCTAGCAGTTGCTTCCTGGAGGCGGCTGCCTTGCAGAAGGAAAACGGGCATCTAGACAGAACCCTTTGCTCGCTCCCCTACCCTACAAACCCGTGATCCCATCTGTCCCTGCATCCAACCCGGGGGCGAGATACATTTTACACTAGGCTCTGACTCCCCAAGGACCACCCAGTTTCTCTGCTGGAGCTGAGGACACCTGACAGCGCCATGCCATTTCACAGGGCAAAGGCCTCTTGTGTATGAGGCCAGGAACTAGGTAGGAGAATGCCTATCTACTGGATGGGAGGGATGGCCCCAAAGGCCAGACATCAAAACGCTGATGGGCAAAGAGGTGATGGAGGGAACAGCCAGTCACCAACCAGGAGGGAGGGCTCGGGGAGGGGGACAAAGGTGTCTGAAGTGCACATACAATTAAGGCATTATTAGGCTCCCTTAAATGGAGGGTTCTGGGGGAGGCATACAGCACACCACTTGGCCCCAGAACCTCACCTGATTTTAAAGTGAGCCAGTCGCTCAGCTCGGCTTAGGATCCGAGCATGGGCCTCTGCTTGCTGTGATGCACCGACTCTAAACAGAGGGCACAACCAACCAGCAGCAGGTCACTCCTGACCCAGTGAGATAGTCAGATCTTGGGTTCTGGGGGGTAAGATATAGAAGCTTTCCCTGACCAGAGCCGAGGTCCAGATGCGAGGTCTTACCAGGTGTGAGGGGTTAGGTAATGAGACACGGTAAGCTCGTTCTGATTCTCCTGTGCCTTCCAATACTTACGACAGGCGCATGTCCTGCTGCCATGGTCTTTATTTACACCGGGCTCCTACTCCCCAGAAGGAGTCAAGACAAGTTAGAATCAAAACTCAGGAACAGAATGTTGCTTTGTTCTGTTTGAGTGTGTTTTATAGGCCAGGCTGGCCTGCAGCTTTCTTACACAGCCAAGGATGTCCTTAGACTTCCAAGCCACCTCCCCCTCCTCCTCTTCCTCCTCTTTCTCCCTCCTCCTATCTGCCAGGTGCTAGAATCATACAGATGTGCATCACCACACCTGATTTATGTGGACCTGGGGACAGAACTCAGGACCCCCTGTGTGTTAGACCCATACTCTGCCAGTGAGTCATATTGTCAGCCCCGGTAGTGTGTTTGAAAAAAAAGTCCCTGTCAAGCTACTGGGTCAAAACTGCTGCAGAATACAAAATGGATCTTTACAAACAAACAAACAAAAACAGAACAGGAAACAGGAAATATGGTAGCGTCTGCCGGGAGACTGAACCCCAAATGATTTCAGAGGGGCATGCCCGCTCACCACTAGCTCAGGGAAGGAAGAGAGTAGGGTAAACAGACTATGGCTTCTGTCTGTAGCCAGAGCAGAGGGTGGGGTGCTGGTGGGGCCTGCCATCTCCTTGGTGCTGAACACCTCAGCCCACAGGCACAGGTGACTGTCCTAACCGGAGACACCAATCACGGCTATCAGTTCCCACCATACCCTTCCAAAGGGAAACTGGGCAGAGAGGGGCTGATGAGAGGAAGCAGAGGCAAGAGACAGAGGGGCGGCCATGGACGGGGGAGGCTGGTCTTGACACCACTTGCAAGAAATTGATTTACAGAGAGTGACTTCTGCCTCTAAGAACGTCAGGGCAGTGGTGGGCACAAGTGCCAGGCAGGCATCCATCAGAGTACCTGACCCAGGGCCCTCCACAGCCACGGACCACCTTGGGACTACCAAGGTTGTCACCAAACAAGGTTGGAAAAAAAAGGTCTCTGAAAGCTGCCGGGATGCTGCGGGCGGCTGGCCTGGTGTGTCTGGGGTGAAGGCTGGTGCTGGGGCTTCTGATGTCACTTCTAAGGCTTAAGAAAAAGACAGAGTAGGCGCCAGGAAAACAGAAGCTAAGACTCCCTGGAGTGAGCATGCGGGTAGCACAACGGAGGACATTGTAGACCTCATGGTCCAGCATCTGACGTGGGGCTCCCGCTACGCTACAGGGGCCTTTCAGTTAGAGCAACATCCACGTGGACTTTGACAATCACTCGGCCAAGTGGGTCATGTTAGGCGGTGTCGGGGACGAGTCTGATCCGAGCTGATTCAGTTGTGTCTTCTCTCCAGCAGGATATTGGGTATTCTGAAAGAGCAGGTCCGGTATGTGTGTGGCCAGGGCACGGACAATTCCAACCGAGGTTCGTAACGCTTGAGACTGGGGGGGCAAAGGCTGCCCCACGGAGATCAGAGCAACCCAGACGTGGACAAGGGTGAAAGTCAAAAGCTTTCACAGGCTCTGACAGCCATCAGGTAACCGGAGGCAACCGGACACTGCCTCTTCCTGTTGTCAATGCTGAGACATAAACAAGCACTTGTCAAGGTTCAGGGGAAATTGGCTACATTATTGCTTTATCCCGGTCTAAAGCAAACACGAAAGCGGTGAGACCCAGGCCAACTGTGCACAGGGCCTCACAGGAAGGATAAGGGTATCAACAGGATGGGGCGGGGCTGTGCTTATAAATCAGATTGTAGGTTCTTAAGTGGGGAAAGAGGAGCTTGTCAAAAAGGGGGGGGGGATCAAACCCAACCCAGGAGACACCAGTGTAATGCTTGGATGGTGACCTTTGCCACCCAAGAGCCACTCAGGCTTGCTCATCAAGGTCTTTCCCGAAGGGCTGCCAGGGGAGGAGCCTAAGAGCCCGACTTCCCGGTCAACTGTCACACCAAAGGCCGATCCACAGACCGGGAGACTTCTTTAAGGAGAGCTGAAAGATCTTCCTGTGGACTGGAGCGAGTCCCGGGACAGGGTCTTCCTGTGGGGACCCGGATGGGGCTCAGCACAGTGTCTTCAGGGTGGAAAGGCCCAGGCACAGGAGCGTGGTCAGGGAGGAGCGGGCGGCTTGGCCTCAGGTTCAGACATCTGGCGGTTAAGGCTTGAGTTTACGGGTGTAATGATATCCTATCTGCAGAGAAATGACAGTCCTTGGTAAGCAGAGAATTTGGCATGGTTGTCACCATCAGGGGCTCCAGCTCTCCCCGGGAAGGATTTTGGGGGAGATGGTGGCAGACTAGGGCAAGCTGAGCAACGAGGCAGGCATTCTGACTGGGAGCAACGAGCATCACCTCAGAGCCTCAACTTCCCTCCAGTGAGTTGCTGGTAAGACCATCCCACACTCGTAAGCCTGGGTTCAATCAACCTCTTTTATTTTCTCAGGTACTCTGAGGATGCCTCAGCCACAGGGGCATTGCTGACCCACACCTTCAGCCACGCCCACCGTGCTGAGCTCCACAAAGTACCGCATGTGCCTCTACTGAGCATGCGCAGATGTGTCAACATCGCCCAGGCAACAGCAGGGTTGACAAGAAAGCAGGGACACTGTCCTGGGGGGGGGGGGGGTCAGAAACCATCCAGGTGACTTAAAGGGCCACCAGGAGGGCTCAGTGGGTAAAGCTTGGTGTGCAAGCCTGGAGATGTGAGTTCAATCCCTGGGTCCCCACGCACAGGTGGGAGAAGAGAACTGGCTCCAGAGTTAGCCGCTGCACCTGCGCCCTCAAACACCACATACTTATACAACGGTAAATACAATTTAAAAAATGAGAAGTGCTCTCAAGTGTACGGGAGGATATAGGAAGGCTCCATACAGACCCAGAACATTTCACACCCAGCACGTTCGGGCCCTCAGCAGTGTCAGTGAACGCTTCCTGGATCTCAGGTGGATGCCGAGTCCGACTACATACAGTCTCGAATTAAATTGTAATTGCATAGCTTGTGCGCTAAGATTTCCCTATGCAAAACTTCGAAACTTTCCTGGCTAAGACTGCCTTTGATCTCCTCACTTTCAAAAGGTCTTGAAGGCGGCAGGAAGGTCAAGATCATGCGCTCAGAGTCCTGGTTACCCTATACCCTTCACCAGACTCTTTCACCCCTGGTCCCTTAGTGTAACCTCCTGGCTCCTGAGCCCCCCAGGTCCTCGGTGCCCCAAGCCTGTCCTACCTGGTCAAGCTTGATTCTCATACAGGCTCTGCCTCTTCTTGGATTTCAGCTCCTTTAGCCACTGGGGCGAGCACTCCTCTGACCTGAAAGCACAGAGGTCATGGAGTCACCAAACCAATTTTACAAACGAGGGAAGGGAGGCAGGGAATGGTCACATGACTCTACCAGGTCTCACAGCCTGACCACCACCTTTAGCTCTTCAGCTCGGGCCTGAGAGCGGAGGCTAAGCTGCACAGACTCAGCCTGCTCAGGGAGGGGCAGCTGCCTCTTCCCTAAAGGGCAGCCAACCAGTTAGGCCTCTTGACTCTGCCAAGTCAAAGTGCTTCCCAAACACAAGAGGAAGCAGGGGACCTCAGTTTCCACCCATGTGCGGAGGGGCTGTGCCTGGCAGGGGTTCCTGGAAACACATCCAGGAGTTCTGGGTCAGGTGGGAGAGGAGGGAGAAGAGAGACTTCGGGGTTTCTGTCATCTCCCCCCAGGCTGCAACTCTAGCTGTCAGAGGGCAGAAAACACTTGCAGGGAAAATACCAATTCCTACCTAAAAAACCACGCAGTGTCCACTCAACACACACGCACGCACCATGTACCCAGCACGTACCACCCAGCATGCATGCAGCATACAGCACATGCCACGCAGCGTGCACCCAGCACGCACGCATGCACGCACCACGTACCCAGCACGTACCACGCAGCACGCACGCAGCATACAGCACGTGCCACGCAGCGTGCACGCAGCACACACGCAGCATACAGCACGTGCCACGCAGCGTGCACGCAGCACACACCCATGCAGCACCCAGCACGCACCCAGCACGTACCCGTACCGCGTAGCAACATGCGCCATGTACCACGCACCATGCAGTAGCATCCTAAATGTAGGCAGGAAGTGTCCTCATCCCCATCCTTACCGCTCCTCTTTCTCTGTGCTGGAAGGCAGCACCCGACTGCCCAGCACCCCGGGCTGGAAGGGTGACTTAGGGCTCTTGGGCTGGGGTGTCCAGCTGAGAGACTCTCCAGGACTGTCCACTTCTGGCCTCTTGGGCAGCTGAGCCTGGGGAGAGAGGAGGCCAAATGTCGCTGTCTCTTGTCTGGGGACAAGCCCCATCTAGCATTGGTCCCACAGCAACACCTCACAAGGCACTGGGGTGGTCCAGGCCGGAAGTATAGGGCTGAGAAGTAAGAGACCGACAGCGTCCTCGGAGTGGAGGCCCCAGCAAACTCACGCCAGAGCCTGCGACACTAGAATCCACAGGCACGTGGCAAGGGTGAGACGGTATCTTAAGACAGTGTGAGCAGGATTCCCCTGGAAGAAGCTAGACAAAATGTCACGTGTCTGCCATTCCAGCACTCAGTGGCAGATGGAGGGACAGGATGTTAAACGGATGAGCAATCGGAAGGGGGAACAGGAGGCTGGTTGACTAATGACTGATAGACAGGAAGGGAGGGAGGACAGAGCGAGAGGAAGAAAAGGCATTGCTTGGAGTGGACAGACAGAAGGGCGGGCAGGTGGGCGGGAAGGAGCAGAGGCATGCAGATTGCTCTTGGGAAGCCCTGGTACCTTCAGCACAGCTGGGTCCATGCCTGGGAACACGGGCATCCTCTGCGGGTGGCTGACAGGGGTCCTCTCCACCCTGGGCGGCTCTTCATCCGATTCATCCCTCCTGGGCGACTTCTCTTCTATTAAGAGACGCATTCTAAGTCACTAGTGGCCCCTCCCACATCCCTGCACGAGGACACAGACACTCATAGCCCACTTTGGGCTTGAGCAGTTGGGCATGAGCCCCGGAGACTACTTTTTGCTCACTCTCTTCAGACTCTGCCACCTGCTGGGAAATGGTGGCCACAGGCAGATCGCCCCCCTCTGGCTCCTGCCACTTTGGAGGAATAATAGGTCATTCTTGATAGAGGTGGAACAGGTAGCAGAGACATGTTCCACCAACAGGGGGCGATGTGGAGCGCTCCAGAGACTCTTCAAAATATCCCCCCAAGTCAGGGGCTGGGCCAGGAGCTTCCCGCTGATGAGTTGCTGGGTAAGGACTTTCTGCCTCTCTAAAACTGGTCATCGGTGGAGCACAGCACGTCCCCAGGCTAAGATGGACACTGGGCATGCTCAGAAAGGTCGGCCCCAGTCTTTCATATCTCCTGCCATGTCCTCAGGGCTAGGGAATCTGAGAGGGAATCTGGGTGCACCGTCAGTTCGGTGGGCTGCATTTGCTCCAGGTGGGTTGGCATGGTTCTAGTCCAACACTGAGTTGTGTATTATTGAGTCCGTGTGTATGTGTTCATGTGTGTGCACTCATGTGTACACACATGCCATGTTGCTGGTCGCCTACATCAATCTCTTCTTGCTTTATTTTTTGAGAGAGTCTCTCACTGAACCCAGAGATCACCAGTTCGGCTAGAAGAGCTGGCAGGAATCAGTTTGTCTCAGCTCACTGGTGGCTGAGGCTACAGAGTACGTGGGTGTTGGGGATTTGAACTCGGGTCCTGGTACTTGTGAAACAAGTACTTTACACATCCTCCCAGCCCCCGTCACACATTTAACCTTCACTTGCTAGCATGGACGGACAACAAGAAGCAAAGACCCAAGCCCAACATTTGTTTACTGCACACTTGGCCATGCTAATGTCTGCCCTGTAGACCAGGCTGGTCCCAGACTCAGAGATTAGCCAGCCTCTGCCTCTTAAGCTCTGGGGTTCAAAGTGTGTGACATCATACTTGGCTCTGTATTTTGGCTTTGTTTTTTGTTTTTTTGTTTTGTTTTGTTTTGTTTTTTTAAAAAAGAGAGTCATGGGCTGGAGAGATGGCTCAGTGGTTAAGAGCACTCACTGACTGCTCTCCCAGAGGTCCTGAGTTCAATTCCCAGCAACCACATAGTGGTTCATAACCATCTGTAATGGGATCCGATGCCCTCTTCTGGTGTGCCTGAAGAGCACCAGTGTACTCATATACGTTAAATAAATAAATAAATAAATAAATAAATAAATAGATCTTAAAAAAAATGTCACATTATATAGTCACAGTTGGCCTGGGACTCACTCTATAGGCCAGGCTAGCTTTGCATCGTGAAGATCTCGCTTCTGTCCCCAACGGCTGGGATGACAGACAGGCACCGCCACACATGGATTCAGAACACATTTAAAACCACACTTACGGCACGTTCTACAGGATGCGAAATTACAGCATCCTGGCTGACTGTGTCTCAAACCTTCTAAGGTCACATTGTTCTCCCCAGGGTTTAGTGTACTGCCTTCCCGCTCAGTGCAGAATGCGGGTCAGACTCGAGACGCACCGGCATACCTGTCGAGTCCTTGAACATCCACGTGCTGTGTGATTCCTCTTCCAAAGGGGACCGGCTCTCAGACTCGCTGAACTGGCTGCGCCGGAGCGAGTGAGAGATGGGCGCCCGGCGACGGCTTCGCTTACTCAGCTGCACCCGGGTCTTGAGGGCACTGGAGTCGAGGACTGAGGTTTGCTTTAGGGGTGGCAAGGAGGAGACAGGAAGGAAAGAAACTTTAAACGGAGGGCACCGTCTGTAGGCTGTGTGTAGCCTTGTTCATACGGGCATTCTCAGGGGTGCCCTGGAGACCCCGTGTATCATGCTGTGAGCCTGGACTTCCCCATGGAAGCCATGCAGGCAGTACCGTAAAAACACAAGTGGGCAAAGAGGACACAGTCTGTGACGTCACACAGGCGCAGGCGCACATATAGATTTGGGGGGAGGGTGGAGCTCGTTTTCTGTCTGTCTGGTGAATAGCTGATCGCATTCTGCCATTCTTTATGACAACCATATTCATGGAGACCCTGAGGTATTCACTGTGGCCCCCAAGATAATCCAGGGTGCAGCTGGGAGGGGAAGGATCACCTACAGAACACCACTAAAGGAGTACCTTCTGTGTCCACAGGGCCACCCTGGGACATCTCCAAATGATCCCCACAGGACACCCAAGTCATGGTGGCATCCCACAAAAACCTCAGTTTACCCCGTGCTTAGGGCCACAAACCTCAGTTTACCCCATACTTAGTGCCACCAGCCTATGGGCAGCCATGTCAACCTGCTAATCCAAAAGGCAGGCAGGGGATGTCACCCCTCCATTATCAGTACGGACCCGGGATGGAGCCAGCTATCGGGGACCCAGGGTTACTGATGTTGCCACTGCTGCTTACAAGAGCACAACAGGAAGCGCTCAGAGTTCTAGAAGAAACGTCCAGCAAGACCTCTGTGTCATGTGACCCATATCATTCGCGCGCATGAGCCGCAGAAGGCTCGGCAGCAGTGAGAGCTCCGTACATGGTTGTTGAGTGACTAACAGATCACCTACTGAGATCCTCACAACACCCGGAGAGGTGGGCACCACACCTGCTTAGAAGGCACAGGGTCCTCGAAGGCTGATCTTGGCTCTTTCTTTCTACACTCTCATCTAGAGGTTCTCCAGGAAAGACCTTGCCATGTGTAAGCTGTGAGTCTCCTTGGAGGCCTCTTAGGGGCCCCTCAAGGGCATTTGGAGCATCGGTTACCCAAGAGTGAGGGCAGGGGCTCAGCTATCAGGAGTGAAGGTACCCTGGAGGCCCTAGCAATGATTTCCTATCTCCCATGCTCCTTGTAGGCTACAGGGATGATCCCATCCTGCATCCTCCATGGAGGTTAGGGTTTCTGGAGCAGGGTCAGGTCCAGTTCTGCTCCTGAAAAGACCAGAGCAGAGCACTGTGCAGCCTGGGACTCGGGAAGATGGGCACCTGAGGGACAACCGTGCCATGGGACCTAGGCAAGCTCAGTTCGGGTCTAAGAAGAGGGCCTGTGCCTGGAATGGCTGTCAGAGAGTCCTTCATGGCTGCTGAGTAAGAGCCTGGAGAGCCTGTTCTCAGTGTTTGTTCTAGGCAGGGCCCGGGCTGTGCACGGCCAACCGACAGTGGCAAACCACAGGCAGACCTGTGAGCGTGCTCACGGCACGCTGTACCTCAGACACCCACGATCACCTCTGAGGCCGTGGAGCTGGATGTGCGGATTATTAGTAAGAAAGCTGAACATCAGAGGGATGAAGACGTTTGCCCCAAGATGCACAGCTAGTAAGGGGCACCCCAAGCTACAGGAGGGTCCATGTCAAAGGCTCTGTCCCGTGCTCACTGCAAGGGTTCCTGGCATAGGGAGGCTGTCCTGGGGGGTGATAATCCCACACAGGCCTCAGCTTCCTTTCAGTAAAGAGTGTTTCCATCCCAGCCACCTCCACTGGCTGCAGGCTTACATGGATGAAGGAGAAATCATCCTCTCCCTCTGCAGGGCAGACGTCTGATGGAGGTGGCCCCTCGGGGCCATCTGTGGACTCCAGCTCAGAACTGGAGCGGTCCACGCTGGAGCTGCGCCGGTCCCTGGAGCTGTCATGCTGTTCCACCGATGTGGACTCGGTGTACGAGGACAAGTGGCTGCCTGGAGGCTGCTTTCCCGCAGATGCAGCACTGCTGTCGGGAGACGGAGACTCAGGGCCGAAACTGTAAGGAAAGGTGGAAGGTGACAGAGGTCACTGAGGGTCCTAGAACACCGAACCCAGAGCACATGAACATGTGGCTCAGAGTTCAGGGTCAGAGTGTAGCGGGGCTTCCTGGAAAATCCTCCTTCTGGCAACAGCAGCTAGGGGTCTGCTGTCCCATGAGACACTCACTGCTCAGGTGCAGAACAGGGATGCTCCTCAGACTCCAGAGACTGTACACCACCCAGCACAGGAGCTGCTGGGTGCAGGTTACAAAGGAGAGCCAAGACCCAACCCAGAGTGATGGCGGCTCATCTGGAATCTCCACAGGAGGCAGAAGCAGGAGGGTGGGGGATGGAGGCCAGCTTGGGCTATACAGCAATCACCTGTTCCCAGAACACAACACACACACATACACATACACATACACACACACAGAGAGAGAGAGAGAGAGAGAGAGAGAGAGAGAGAGAGAGAGAGAGAGA